TATAAGGCGTTCCTTCTTATTTGTCTTACGAAAGACTTTTTACTATCTTAACCAGAATTACCTTGCAAAGATCTTTTAAGACAGTGGCCAGAAGTGAGTTTAAAGACAATTGCCGGAATTGCCCTGTTAAGCTAGAATTAAATGTTCTATGAAACTCCTCCAACTTTTTGAAATTTGTTGCACGGTGTTGTTATATGGAAATCTACTCAAAACATTAGTACTTAAGTATATAGTTTTTAGCATCTCTTAATAATCAAAGCTTTTCACTTAAGTTTTTTGGTCATAAGTATATTTCTGTAGCCACAAGCCATGACAACTATGTCGAGAGGTTCACTTTGGTATAATATTCGATTTCCAGCCTGGGATTGAAAATAGCGCAGCTGCTATTGAAAAACAAGTAAGAAAGTTCGGGCGGAGCCGAACATTAAATACCCCGCGCAAGTATTAAATATATGTTTTTTCACATTTCCGAAACCTTCCGCTAGATGGTAAGCCGGGGTGTATCAATTTTGAGTAAATTAGCGTCCTTAAATTTGGAAATATTGCAGTTTCAAGCATTTCTGAAACTTACCGTTATATGAAAAGCGGCCGTAATTTTAGTCCGATTTCAAAAATTTTCAACGTTTTGCTTTTATGTGGCAAGCACAATAAAAATACCGAGTTTGGTACAAATTGGTTGAACGGTTACCGATATACATATATGTGATCATAAGTGGGCGGTGCCACGCCCATTTTCCAAAATTTTACCATAAACGTATTTCTTGGTAAAGGATTGTTGCAAGCATCAATTTTGAATAAATTAGCTTTAATATTTACTGATTTATCGAAGATTTTGTATTTCTCTAAATTACCGTTATATGGGATGTGGGCGTGGTTATTGTCCGATTTTAAAAATTTTCGTCCATTTAGTATGCTGTACCAAGGTCAACAACTGCGCCAAGTTTGGAAGAAATTGGTGCAGCGGTTACCAAGATATACACATGTAACCATAAGTGGGCGTGGCTACGCCCATTTTCCAAAATTTTACCATAAACGTATTTCTTGGTAAAGGATTGTTGCAAGCATCAATTTTGAATAAATTAGCTTTAATATTTACTGATTTATCGAAGATTTTGTATTTCTCTAAATTACCGTTATATGGGATGTGGGCGTGGTTATTGTCCGATTTTTAAGATTTTCGGCCATTTTGTATGCTGTATCAAAGCCAACAACTGTGCCATGTTTGGACGAAATTGGTGCAGCGGTTACCAAGATATACACATGTAACCATAAGTGGGCGTGGCTACGCCCATTTTCCAAAAATTTATAATATTCTTATTTTTCGTCTAAAAATTATTGTAAATATCAATTTTGAGTGAATTATCTTCAGTAATTACTAAAATATCGCAGTTTTCGTATTTCTGGAAATTACCGTTATATGGGAAGTGGGCGTGGTTACAGTCCGATTTCGCCCATTTTCAATACCAACCTACCTTGGATTAACGGAAACCTACATACCAAATTTCGTTGAGATATCTCAATTTTTGCTCGAGTTATCGTATACACGGACGGACGGACAGACGGACAGACAGACATGGGTTAATCGATTTCTCTATTCATTCTGAGAATTTATGTATACATTTGTCTTTATCTATCTCGATTCGTTTTGGCTGTTACAAACAACCGTTATGTGAACAAAATTAATATACCCTTGTGCACAAGTGCGCTCGGGTATAATTATTGGCAAACAAACCCGAAAGAAATAATTTTGTTGCCAGCAACTTGCTGTCAATATTCGCAGCAAGTGTCATGAAAAATTCGTTGTGGTTAAGTAGTACAATTATTGGCGCATTATGCTAAGGTCAGCTTCTCAATATAAGCTATTACTTTAGTTTTTACATAGGGATGCACATCGCTGGTTCATGCATTGAATACTACTTGGTGCATTACCCTAATATGTATTGGACTATCAGTATCGGTTAAGTTTTGAATAAACAAGTTGAGCTAATTTTAAAATCGGCTCGGTTTGTGATTTTTTATAATTTGAATTAATTTCCACATTATTCCTGTTTTTATTTCACAACGTGCTTCCCGCTTAAATATTTGTTTAAATATACAATATTAAGCTTTAATTGCAATTGTAAATATGGACCATTTGGAATTCTCGGCAAAAGGTGACATCGTTAATATATTTATATACGAGTAAGAAATACTTGAAACCACAATAACTGCACATGCTTACACAAAGACGTTTTAGTAATACATATATGTACATACATATGTACGTTTACAAGTGTTTGATAAAAGAGTAATTTTTAACCAAAAAACCAAATGGACTTCAATTCTCATAGAAAAATTTAAAATTACCGCTAATTTCTTCGTGATCCAATGATCGGATCTAAACCAAATTAGTATGGGACTACCCCTAAAGTGCCACTTTAAAAAAAAAAGTAATTATAGAAATCGATTAGCGTAGAAAATGTAAAAAAATATCTGACGAATTATTAATCTCCTCCTTTTTTTGAAGTCGGTAAAAAAGGTATTAAAACTTTGTTTTTCTCTAACATTTTAGCGTAACCCAGAACATATGTATATATCGCTCATTTAATCAAATCGCGAAACACGATACTCCCGTAGTAAAACTTAATACATATTTTGCTCTAGTGAGCTATTAATAATCAGCACAGCTATGAAATTTACAGAGTAATCAACCACATAGAAAAAGAGGTAATGGTAATATATCCATACTTAACTCCATTATTACATAGACATATATATATATATTTATTTTTTATTTTTTGTATTATGATATGTGAGCGATATTAAAACATAGGCACATGTTCTAAAAGAAAATGTGTGTGGATCCCACGCGCAATTGAAGTGAAACTTCTTCTTCCTCTATTGCCCGCATTACTATATCTATTACTAGTGAACCCATATGGCATTGAAACGTCAAAATTGAATTTAACATTTCAAACAAGTGGCAACTCTTTTCAAAACGCTTAAAACATTCCAAATATTAATCAGTGTTAAAAGCGATACATTTGATCTGAATCAATGAAAGGAAACCTCGCATGGAACGGTTTCTCTAATTTCAAATTACCCTGTACCGATAAAAAAATATATATCCTCAAAAATAAATTATTATAATCAAAATTCTGAATGACATCCTTCGTTTTACAAACATTGTAAACAATAAATAAATATTTATATACATACATATCACACGCTTAATAATATAGAGATGTTACTTAAAATTAACGATTTTCCCCGATTTCAAACTTTTTCGATAATATGGAATACCAGTTGTATGGCGCAACCCTTATTTTACACTTGATTTTGCCGTATTGATGTCATTGCGTATAAGGCTCTCTCTCTCTTTGAGAGACACCTTTATGCATAAGGATTATCTGCTGTGTAAAATAAGACTTAAGAGCGAAATACACCACACAAGCGGTTTGACAAACCAAGCGAAATTTCCCTTTGCTTCAAGCCATTTGTGCTGTGTATGGGGGTGTTTGAAGGTTTGACGGCGGTTTGTCAAACCTTCAAACACCCCCATACACAGCACAAATGGCTTGAAGCAAAGGGAAATTTCGCTTGGTTTGTCAAACCGCTTGTGTGGTGTATTTCGCTCTTTACATAAGCCCTTATAATAAGAAATGATAGTCCATTCGGAATTGGGCTTACATAAGGCCCTGTCGGCGAATTCCTTATTTCTGTTTATGCCATTTTTTGGTAGGAGGTGTCACACGGCGTATACACAACAAAATTTAACTGAATCACTTTTATGTTCTCGTTGGTAATTTTTACTAAAAGCAAGACATATCAAACAGGTAGTAAGCATTAGAGCAAAAGAGCATATTTGCCATATTAGATTTCTTAGAAACATTCTGAGTATGCAGTTTTGTAGCCCATTCAATTCGAAGTGCAAATTTTAAGTAGCTAGGTTTTACCATTGATTTGTAATCGATTTTTTTTTGGGAAGGTGTTGCTCATTTTCTCCATACAAAAAATATTTGAACATACTTTTTATGGAAGAAAATGCGCGAACGAAAAATTTCCAAAAATCAACGGCAACTTCAAGCTACTTCAAACTTGCACTTTATTATTCTAAAATTAAATAGGATACAAAACTGCATTCTGAAAACAATTCTAGAATTTGTTAAAACTCGTCGAATTTTTTAAATGTTCTACAAAGTTTGAAATTTTGATTTACATGTTTTTTTACATAGTAAGTTATTTTTTTATAAAAAATAAATAAAAATTTTTTGAACAAAGCTAAGTTCCTAAAATATTTTTTTCCTATTCACATTCTCGCCACCGTATATACATATTGTGTGTATGCATTTTAGAGATCATTTTTCGAGTTTTTTCTCTTTGTTTTGTTTTAAATAAAACTATATTAAAAGGTGTTATGTTATTTATTCTAAAAAACAAAATTGTATGTTCGGATTCGATGCTTTAGAAATGTCCCGCTTTTTGGCAACGGAAACCTGGTCACCGTAGGTATAACGTAAACTTCAGCTGCAAGTCGGCTTGGGTTAATAATAAGAAAACTTTATATGTGACCTGGTCTACGGAAAGGGGGCTTAGGTGTCAAAAAATCAATTTTCACTTTTTGGTTGATTCGGATGGAAGATGAGATGCTTTTTCACGTGGTGAAAAGCAGAAAATCCTAACTTGCTTAGAAGTGTACTAAAAATGTAGAGAAAGAAGAGTAAAAATACGACAAAATATAATTTATNTAACAGCTTTTTCACAGAAAACTAGTTTTCGCACGTAAGCTCCCTTTTCGTAGACCAGGTCACATATATTTGTTATTTAGGACAAAAAAAAGGGGTATGCGTATCGAGTTTCGTTTTGGGATACCCTAATGTACATATATTTTAACCCACATGCTTTTTAGCTTTAACAGACCTCTTATTTATTTTGTATTTATTATGTCCTTTTCCTACTGTACTTTGGACTGGAATGAACTTAAAAATTAATTGTAATAAATGCGAGTATTTTCAGTATATTTTTACGAAGTTTTTATTTTTTAACATTTTTTGCTATACATTTTTGTGGCAAAAATATCTTAAATTTTAAATGAATAAGCTGTGGCACAAAGTTTTAAATATGTCAGGTGAAAGGAATAAATAATTATTTACATGCATAAGTATGTACAAGAGACTGGCGATATTTAATTCTACAAATAATAAACTTAAAATTAAGCTTAAAATATCAAACTTTAGTAACTGGTTTTCCATATACTTGTACTCACGGTACTGATAGATGAAGTGTTTACAAATACATATATTCACATATATCACTCATTAGTGCACCTTTGACCGAAAACCTTTGGACATCAATGGTCTTACGTCTGCGACATCTTTTCCGCGAGTCTCGGGCAGATAACGCCACGTCAGCAGGAAACAATACAGACACATAACAGCACACGGTAGAAAGGCGTAAGAACCCCAAACAGCCTCCAACATAGGAAAGAACATGCCAATCATAAAGTTGCCACTCCAAGAAAAGCAATTTCCCATGGACATGGCCACCGAACGCGATTCTACTTCAAACAGCTCTGCGCCGACAAAATAGGGAACAGGCGCCAAGCCCACATTGAAGAAGAATATGAACGAAGCAATAAAGACAATGCAAAGAATGGGCAACCAGCTAACGCGATCCTAAGATGTTGTAAAAGACTTGGCTTAGTATAAGTTTAAGTACGCATGTAAGTATGTAAGTATATATATATATACATAGTATATGCAAAAGCATGCTTACAATGTAGTTCAAAGCAAAGGCCATGCCGAGAAGTGACAAGCCACACCCACCGGAGGAGAACATCATCAGCGGTCGCCTACCGAACTTTTGCACCGTCACAGGACTCACGGCTGCGAATAGTAAATTCAAGATGCCAGCACCAAAGTTCATCCATGTTGCAATCTCCAGCGAGAAGCCGCCCTTCATGAAAATTCTCACCGAATAGAAGAAGATTGCATTGATGCCACTCAACTGTTGGCACAATGGAAACGAGCAACAAATTACTAGTGGCAACAAATATTCCGGATTCTTCACCACCGCCAAAAAGCTCATTTTCTCACTGGACGCTAAAGCGGCCAACTCTTTCATATCAGCAATTTCGGCATTCACACAGGCATCGGAATTTTTGCCGCGCAACCGTTGCAACTCTTTGCGTGCTGCCTGCTCATTCTGACGCATCAAATATAGCCAACGTGGCGACTCTGGAAACCAGAAGACCGGCAAAAAGCTAACAACTACGAAAACAGTATAGAAGCTGAGCGCAAACTGCCATAGGTCTTCGGTGCCGAATACTTGTTGCAAGCTGAAAATTTGTCCCACACAAATGCCGCCTGTCACACCGATGGACGTGAAAACTGCCGCACTGCCACGCAGATGAGTAGGTGAAATCTCCAGCAAGTAAATTGGATGTACTGTATAGGTAATAGCTGCTGCAATGCCAATTGTAAAGCGTCCGATCAGCAGCATCTCAACGGAGTCTGTCATGCGACAGAAGTGTAAGAGGATGCCCGAGACTGTCAGCAGGAATGCACTGACCAGTAGTGATCCCTTTCTGTAAGTAGTAAAATGAGCGCAAAATATAGTAAACAAATTATTAAGAAGCGGAAAAGATTAAAATAAGTATTTGCAATGAAATGGTACGACAAAATTTCGACTTCAAAAATTAGGATTGCACTGTGGGGCAATTTTAAGGGTCTTCTTTAGTACATTAACAAATCAATGTCCAAATGCTAGTTTCTTTGCATGTTATTGAAACCCGAGAATGATTTCTTTCTACCTATATTTTTATGTATAAATCAGGTAATTCTTATCTCCAAAGACTTGCATATCGTAAAAGTAAGCAATCAATTTTTTTGTGAAATTTTTTAACCCTTTAACTGCTCCGATTACGGCTCTTTTTGACCTTTGCTTGAAGCAGTTAATTAGAAATATCAGCTTTAACCCAGTAACCCAAAAAACCATTTTAGTTGAAGGATTTCACTGAAAGACCCAAAAATACAATAACCTTATGACTGATGTTAAGTGGGTTAAACGACTTACTTAATCGAAATCGACTATTTTCATTATAAATTTCAGTATTTTCGTTGCCCGTTAGAAAATACTCATTATGATAAGTAGGTGGCAAAGGGTTAAATTTTGTTTACGAAAAAAGTGTACGCTAAATTTTAATATAGTAAGGCTTCGCGAACGAGGTCTTCCCTCATATTCCTTCGAGAAAGGACTGGGAACATAATTCGATCTAGGACCTCTAATATAAACCTACAGCCGTCTATACGTATGGTCCTAAATAAACTAAACCCAAGATCTCTCATTAGACCTCTGCTTTAGGCTGCCAAACAGTGCTCGCGGCCATAAAAGAGGCTGTACTTTGGATAATCGAATCGTCTCTTAACCTGCCTTCAGTAATCATATACACCGATACCAAGCAGTTATTAAGTCACTGGTTTGCTGTCAAGGCTAGTGAAAAATTGCGATAGACCGTAAAAAATTCCTAAAAGAGTTAGCTTCAAAGCATGCTACCCATATTACGCGGATGTCAGGTCACAGAGACACACAGCGATGCGGGTAATCCGCTAGCTATCTGCAAAACATGGCTTAAGCGACACTTCGTCAGGTAGGCAAATATAAGATGGTCGGAAAAACCCGCGTGTGGTACAACTCGACAAATCTGGCCGAGCTTCGATAAGAAAAGATCCGACGCACTCATTTGGTTAGAACGCCCTCTACTAATTTACTTAATACTTTAAGTTAGCGTCAACTTGCTTGACGAAAAATATATTTGTGGTAGCCTAAGAATACAACAAAAACAAATATGTAGTAAACGAATATTTTCTTTACCTTCCAAAGCGATTACAACAACCGCCAGCGAAAAATGAACCAAATATGCCACCTATAAGAAATATAGATACAATCGCCGACCACAGCAGATCTAGCTGAGAGGGACTCAGTTCTACGTCGTAACGTATTACGAAGGCATCTAAGCACCAGGCTTTAATATACTGTGGAAAAGAGCGTATGTATAGAAAACAACAGTTAAATACATAATAGTTACGCAATAAAATTTGTATTTGCTTTACAAATTACATACCTCAGCGGGTGTATTCATAACACCGAGGCAATAGCCTACAGGTATTGCTGTACCAAAAGTTGTTGCTACACATATCAACGCCAACAGAGGTGTCCAGCCTTTGCGTTGCGTCTGGAAAAAATAAAATGTTTCAGGTTGCATTGGTTAATGTTGCTAAATATGCAGTTAATAAAAATTAATAAAAAATTTTAAAATAAAATTTGGCGATTACACGTTTGCTAAGTGTTTGGCTGAGTTTGTCCTAGAAGATGTTATGTGTGTCTTGATGTCTTACAACTACTTAGAAGGACCTGTACTTTTAAGCTACCCCCAAACCGTATTTTTATAATTTTAAGCAAAAAAACACGAATTAAATTCTCAGATATCGGATCTAAGCCAAATTAGTGTGGGACCATCTCTGAGGTACCACCTTTCCTTAAAAAAAAGAAAAGAATTATAGAAATCGGTTAACGTGGTCCAAAGTTATGCGATAACATATGTATAAAAAAATAGGGGTATTCTCGAAGTCTTGCACGATGCACGGATTGCACGAAATGCAAAAATACTATTCCAAATTTCGAAGAGTACGAGAACACCCCATTGCAAAGTGGTAGCATGCATGGGGAGCAAGCAGCGAAATTATGTATCAAATACAATAACAAGAGACAGCAAAAAAAAATTAAGTGAGCGAGATGAGAGGAATGAGAGAAATATGTAGCAATTCCAACAACAAAACAACTAGCACAGGGTCGCTATTATCTTGCTATGCTATTTTGCAAAATATATACATGGGTTTCGACGTTGCATATTTTGCAGCGATAGGAAATGTTGTTTCCCATGAGTTTTCTTGTTGTGTGTTTGCAATTTATGCAATCCGTGCAATCCGTGCTACGTGCAATGGCTTTGCAAGATTTGGAGAATACCCCTAATGTTCCGACGAATTGCAAACCTCCTCCTTTTTGTAAAGTCGGTTAAAAATAACTTTTATTTACGATATCTGAATTTGGAAAATATGGGAATATGGCTGACTTTTGCTGACAATTCGCAAAACTAAGTTCCTATTCGGCATTTGAACGTTTTGTGGTGTCAGTTTTTCATTATTCTTTATGTCAATGGAATCAGGTTTTGGATAGCATAAAGAACCGCAGGTGGACAATATGTAGACCAGTTTTTCTCCGTACAGTTTTTTGTACACATTCTATTTACCTAATAAGAATTACATAAAAAATAACGCAGCTGGAAAAAGCTATTCAATTTCTTTTGCAAATTGCATTCACCCGCAAAAAGTGTTGCCAATAAAAACAATTAGAAACGTAAAGAACTTCATGTGAAATAAAATTCTACGATAAAGGCAAATATCTATTGCCAATATTATTAATTTATAATCATTGTCATTTGTACATACTTATGTTGATACTAGCAATTTAAAAAATTATCGTCATAAGTATCTGCAATTATACAAACATTTGTACATATGTATGTATGCATGCAAGTATGTATTTATATCTGTCACGAGAGAAACAAATTAGAATTTTGGCTCGTGCTGCCAGTTAAATCAGCTATCGGGTGATTAAACTGTAAAAATATCATGCCCTAGGTAGTACGAGTACGTATTCTAATTAAATAAAAAATGTATTTGTTTTATTGTGCAACAGACATGAATTGTTCAGTCAATAATCTGTGAAAACAAATGCACTCAATGCCGACTCACGTTTTTGCAACCGTTGAATTACAATTGGTTGAGTTGAATATAACTTGTACTTGAAGGGCAATTAGCGAGGTCGCGAGGTGGAAAAAAGAGCAATTAACTACAATAAGTACCCGGCAAATGCAATTGTTATTAATTTTTACAAGAGCAGTTTGAATATTGTAAATATTTATGATCACTAATCAATCAACGAAGCTGTGAATTCGCTGACCACATACAAGTAAATACCTCAAATGCTATTTATACATGCTTATGTACATATATGTGCATTAGGGTGATCTGAAAAAAAAACGAACCTAACGAATTAATGGCTTTAAAAGGACCTATTCACTGAGAAGAAAATTCCCCAAATTGGATATATTTTTATTTAAATTTTAAGAAATTTAATGCCGTACAAGAATATGCGTAGAAAAATTATTATCGCAAACGGTTCAATAGTTATAGCATTTTTAATGAAAAACTATTTATTCATATCATTTAGATGGAAAATTTCTAATACCAACCGTGGCACAGTGGTTCAAAATTGGCATTTTGTGTCCACAATTCACTGGAGCCTTAATTTTTCACTCAATATAATACGTTTTTTTATTGAATGCTAATAAGATTTGCAAGAGACCGTTGAGTCCGACTTTAGAGGTTTTGTATTTTTGTATCAAATTTTTTAGTGCAAAGTGCAAAAAAAAAAACAGAAATTTTGAAGAAAATCGATTCTTCTGTACTAGTTAATAAATGTTAAAAATTAAAAACTAGTTGAAAACAATTAAAGGTTCTCTCATAAGCTTTCATTAAAAAAAAAATTAAAATTTCTTCTCAGTAAATAGGTCTATTTAAGGACATAAATTCGTTGGGTTAGTTTTTTTTGATCACCCTAAAATGCGTAGACATGTTATTGATAAAGTAAAGGGAGTTAAACGGTGAATCTAGACATGCAATGTTGGCAATTTAATTGTGTGTTAAATAAGGTAGTTATTGTACAATAACAAAATGTTGATTTAATACTTGAATGCTATAAACATTTAAAGCGTAAAAAGCAGTATCTCTTTTTTTTATTCTTACATAATTAACTTTATGAATACAAGTGTGTAGTAAATTTATGTACATAAGTATTTATATGACAAAGAAATTTTATTGTAAATTATTTATTCCTCAAATGCGTAAAGGCTATGGCATTAGGGCGTCTGTTGGAGATGCGGATGACATCTGGTACATATTTACAGTCTAACACCATTTAAGCGTTTAAAAGCAAAAGTCGTGTTAAGCTTTTAACAGGGCTTACTTACAGCATTACATAAACTAAAAATATGGCAATTGGAAAAAGACGACGATTGCTAATGCGATACCGGGAACAAAAACGACACGATATCAATAGCGCAATATGGAAAACGTAACGATAACGGCTTAGCATGCCGTGGAACATGCATTAATAGTTTGTATGTAAATTTCAGGGATCGTAATTATTATAAGTAAAATAATTTAAATCAGTATTTAATAATTAATTTGTGATTTTTAATTTTTTTCGCTCCAAGTAATAATTACACTGGTCAACAGTGTTTTTTTTGCCTAAGCGCGTAATTTAAAGTTGATGTGTTCGTACCTTCCACTAACATACATATCAATGTTAATAAAATCGAATTTAATTAAATATAATTGGTTTCCCAAGCGGAGCACAAGACGTGTTCACCGTCGTAAAATCTTAAGCTTAAAATTTTTGTATGTAAAATAAAGGTTAAAAGGGTGGTATGGGAGCTCATTATAAATTGTTTTTATCAGTTTAAAACATTTCGGTCTAGTTAGAAGTCCTCTAATACCATTTTAATCATTATTTTACATAAAAAAATGTTAAGCTTAAGATTGTGAATCCCCTAATTGTGAAAACCCACTTTGAAAAAAAAAATACATGTTTTGTAATTTATTTATTTTATACTTTCCTTCATAATGTTGTGCAAAAATGTATTCATACAATGCACTTGCTAAATTTCCAGTACGTTTTAAAAATCTTAATTACTCAACGGTGCATTTTTGCTTTTAATTAGCTGTGATTTAAATAGAAACTACAAAACGTAGTAATTATCAAAAGCACTGCAGTTTCGTACAATTGTGTGAATGTATGCGCAAATACATATGTATGTAAATATGTATGTACTGTTTGTGTGAGTTGAATAATGAAGAAATCATTGAGAAAATTTAAATAATCAGTCATGGCAGACCTTATTGTAAACTTAGGAATGAATAGAAATTAAAATTTGTCTGGAAATTAACGCTTAAGCTAAGAGAAATCTCTCCAACTCGTCTAATTGAGTTAGGCAAATGTGATATCGTTAGAAAAGCGTTCCTGTGTTTACTAAGCTTTGGGCATCAAAACTCAGTTGCAGTCCCTTCAACGACTGATAGGCTGCTGAGTCTCTTGGTAGAGAGTGTGCCGAAATGTATCCCATTTAATTAACAGTGAAGGTTAATCGTCCGTTTGTGCTATTCATAGAGAAGAGTTAAGGGTAAATACTCAATAAGTAGATGTCGGAAAACTTGGTAATTTCGGTAGAAATGTGGCTAGTCTGCACAACATCTCAATTACTAAACATAATAAGATTTTTACTTAAAGTTTTTTTTTAGAATTGTATCCTGAACTTTTATCATATTTAGCATTGATAAAATATTTACATATGTACATAGGTATAGTGGTATTCTAAGGTCCGAGTGCTTATCCAATAGTTTTGATCCACAAACATGTCCATATCTTTTCTCCGGGTCACCGGGTGTACGTCGTCTTAACTGTCCCACACCTTGCCCATTAACCTTCTCTAACTCTATAGCTATAGCCAAACTATAGTCAAATACTTCATTACACTTGAGTTTAAAGTCTGAAAAATTCTCTGCCATGAAAAAATTTCTCATAAAAAACCTTCTGCAATTCGGAGGCGGCGAAAAACCACGAATTGTCGGCTGGGTGGACGATCGCCCTATCTCGTCTGCCGGTGCGGGGATAGGACGTTTTCGAACCGGGCAGCCGGGATGGGACTATCTTTCACTCAGCCGTCGAAATGAAGAGAGAATCCCGTCAAAACAGTTAGTAAACTGTATGAAGTACCTACACTTTACAAAAAAAAAACAGGTTTTTTTAGTCTCTCTCTCTTTAGTGATTTCAGTAGAGAAGTGCTTATTGTAATTTTGACACTGCCAGCATCCTTATTTCTAGTGCTGCCAAAATTCCTTTTTTATAATAAATACTTTTCTAAATGCAAATAGTAACAATAATACTTTATTTTAGTATTAAGCTTCTTCGAGATTTTTTTGAGGATTTGTGTTTTCAGTAGGATTTTTAGAGAGTAGTTTGATAAATCATTGACGTTTGGAATTTCTTCCTTCGCCTCTTTTGAGCAACTTGTTGAAACCTAATGATAAACGAATTGGAAAAATACTGAACTAA